GCAGAAGGAAGGCCCTGCTGGTCTGGGTCCAGGCCGTGGCTGATTCTCACACACCTGCTGCCATCACTGGGTATGGAGATGGGCCTGGGGTCAGCCTGCTGGGCTCCTGTGTCTCTCCATGACAGCGGTGCATCTCACATGCGTATAACAGGCAGCAACTTGCATTTGTGAAGCCCAGGTGTGTAATACAGGAGGGGGCAATGGGGACTGTGGTAAAAAAAACCCAGCACATGCTTCCACTGAAGGGGTGGCCTCCTTGACGCTTCTGAAATGAGCTCAGTGTTGACACTGAAGAGGCGCTTGAGGTTTCCCCCAAGATGGCTTGTTAGCTGGGGTGCTGATCAACTCCAGAGATGCTCTAAACAGAGAAACGTTGAATCGGAGAAATAACAACACAAACCTCCACCCTAGCCCCATCCCCAAAGAGAGGAAAACGCAGACGTGAGAGCCCTGTGGAGACTGGCCTGGTGCTGATATTCAGATTGGAGCTGGTGTGAAGTATGTGTCTGTGTGTCCACGAGTGGGCACATGGCTTCGGGCTGCAGCCAGGGCCAGGCTGCCAGCACAACCAGGAGAGGATGCGTTTGAGAAAAGGGGATGCCATTGTTTACAAGACAAGTTAGAAAGGAGAAAAGGGAAACCAAAAAATTGAGGCAAATTGAAACAGTAGAGTAAGATGGGAGAGACAAGTCCAAATTTACCAATAATCAGAGTAAATGTAAGTGGATTAAACTCACGAGTTCAAAGACAGATGTTGTCCTAGTACATAAACCAAAGCAAACCCCAATCCAAAATCCAGCTGTGTGCTATCACTGCAGATGCAACTGAAGTGTAAAGGCAGGAGACGGTTGGAAGAGCAAGTGGGGGAACAGAAATATCAGACAGCCACAGGCAGGCCGTTGTTGGTGTGTCAGTCTCAGCCTCAGTGGGCTCCGGGTCTCAGGGCCGGGTCACCTGTATAGTGAGATCGGGTTCATTTCCCCAAGACGACAGAGCAGTTCACTCAGTACAGCAGCCCCAACGCATTTGATGTAAACTTTGTTAGAAATAGAGAGAAATTAACAAAACTATCATTTGGGGAGATTTCAGCCATTTTTTCCAATTAGTGTTGCATTAAATAGACAAAAAGCTAGCAAAGACAAGGAAGTTCTGAATAACACAATGAGCCTGATCTAATGGACAGAGGTAAATTTTGTGTCTGACAAGCAGAGGTCCCTCATTCTTCTCAAGCACACGTGCAACTCTTACAGAAATTGATCCATTAAGTGCAAGTCTCACAAAAGTTAAAAGAATAGTTATGATGCAGATCCTGTCCCCTCATCATCATGCCTTTAAGCTAGAAATTAATAACCCCTCAAAATAAAAATCCCCATTATTTTGAAATTAAAAAAAACTTTTAAGTAAAAGTTTCGTGGGTCCAAGAAGAAATAATAGTAGAACTTCAAAAATACTTAAAACTGAGTGATGATAAAAGCACTAAGTATCAAAACTTGGATGGAAATTTATATTAGAAAAGAAAAAGACTGCAAATTAAAGAAATAAATTTCCAGTTTAAGAAGATAGAAAAAAGCAAAATTACCCAGAGGAAGTAGAGGGGAAAAGATAATACAAAATAAGACCCGAAATCCATGAAGCAGAAAACCTCTCAGTTCTGATGGTTGTTGCTGTTACGAGGGAGGATGCAGGGTCAGTGTTGCCAGATCTTTGTTTTTCAACAGAAGTCAGAAATTTGTAATTCCTCAAGAAATTTCTACATTAAAAAAAAGTGATTTGGGCTGTGTGACGTGTGTGGGCCAAATTCGGCCTGTGCCCCTCTTTTGTGAGCACTGCTGCTCCTAAACAGCGCTGGGAGGGGCTGTGCACCTGGGGTGTCACTGGGGTGACAAAGGTGACTTGGTGAGAATGGCGTCCTGACTCTGGGCGGAACCCCAGCCTCAGTGCCAGCCCTGCTCCTGGGGCCCGGCCTCTGGGCCGTCTTCCCTGTGAGCAGTTATATACGTGCTTTTGTGTGGACATATAGTTTTATAACTCTTGGGCAAGTAGCTAGGAGGAGAATTGCTGGGTCATATGGTAGCTCCATGTTTAACCTTTTGAGGAAAGTGCCAGACTGTTTTCCAACGTGCCCTGAGCAAGATGGTCCCTCCCCGGGAGGGTCAGGGCGGGTTACCATCCACAGAACATTTCTAGGTCTGTGGACGTATTGTGTCCAGCTCGCTGTGAGTTCTCCAACTCCAGCCTCAGGGCTCCAGTGCAGACACCTGAGAAGGCCTGCTGCTGGCTCCTCATTAGCAGGGCTGGCCTCTCTCCTGTGTGAGGTCCTGCTGGTTTCTGTCTCGCAGCTGAGGACTTGATGTTGTCAGGCTGTCAATGTTGGTAGTCTTTTATAATCCTTTTTATCTCTATAAGGTCAGTAGTAGTGTCCTCACTTCTGTTTCTGATTTTAGTAACTTGAGCCTTCTCTTTTTATCTTGGTCAGTCTAGCTAAATGTCAATTTTCTTGATCTTTTCAAAGAACCAACTTTTGGTTTTGTTGATTCTTCCTATTGTTTTTCTGTTCTCCATTTGGTCTATCTCTGCCCCTGTCTGTATTATTTCCTTTCTTCTGCCAGCTTTGGGTTTAGTTTGCTCTTCTTCCTCCAGTTCCTTAAGGTGTAAGTTAGGTTATTGATTTGAGATGTTTCTTCTTTTTTAATGTAGGAGTTTATAGCTATAAATTTCCTTTGAGCGTGGCTTTTCCTGCATTTCATAGTTTTGGGTATGTTTTGTTTTAGTTTTCATTTCTCTCAAGACATTTTCTAATTCCCCTTGTAGTTTCTTCTTTGAACCATTGGTTGTTTAAGAGTGTGTTATTTAATTTCCACGTATTTGTGAATTTTCCAATTTTCCTTCTCTTATTGATTTCTAGTTTTATTCCATTGTGGTTAGAGAAGACACTTCGTTTGACTTCGGTCTTTCAAACCTTACCAAGACTTGTTTGTGGCCTAATATATTCTGCTATTGTTGGGTGGGGTGTTCTATATATGTCTGTTAGGTCTGTTGGTTTATAGTGTTGTTCAGGTCCTCTGTTTCCTTATTGATTTTCTGGCTGGTTGAAAATGATTGAAAATGGAGTATTGAAGTCTCCAACTATTATTGTAGAACTGTCTATTTCTTCCTTTAATTCTGTCAGTTTTTGCTTCATATATTTTGGGACTCTTGTTAGATGCATATATATTTATAATTGTTATATCTTGATGGATTGGCCCTTTCATCAATATATAATATTCCTCTTTGTTATAAAGGTTTTTTTTTTTTTTGCTAGGAAAAATTTGCCCTGAGCTAACATCTGTTGCCAATCTTCCTCTCTCTCTTTTTTTTCCCCTCCCCAAAGCCCCAGTACATAGTTGTATATTCTAGTGGTAGGTCCTTCTAGTTCTTCTATGTGAGCTGCTGCCACAGCATGGCTACTGACAGATGGGTGGTATGGCTCGATGCCCGGGAACAAAACCCGGGCCACTGAGATGGAGTGCGCTGAATTTTAACTATTAGACAATCAGGGCTGGATTGTGTTATAAAGTTTTTTGACTTAAAGTCTATTTTGTCTGATATTAGTATAGCCACACCAGATCTCTTTTGCTTACTATTTTCACGGAATTTTTTTTCCATCCATTCACTTTCAACCTATTTGTGTATTTGGGTCTAAATTGGGTCTCTTGTAGACAGTGTATAGTTGGATCATGTTGTTTTTTTTAAATCCAGTCTGCCAATCTCTGCCTTTTAATTGAAAAGTTTAATCCATTTACATTTAAAGTAATTACTGATAAGGATGGACTTACTTCTGCCATTTGCTATTTGTTTTTTATATGTCATATCTTTTTGTTCCTCAATTTCTCCAGTACTGCCTTCTTTTGTGTTTGATTTTTTTCTAATATATTGTTTTGATTCTTTTCTTGTTTCTTTATCTGTGTATTTTTAAGTCATATTCTTAGAGTTTACTCTGGGGATTATAATTATTATCTTAAATGTATAACTATCTAGTTTTAAAGAATAATTTAGTTTCAATAGTATACAAAAACTGCTCCTATACAGCTCAGTCTCCCCTACCTGTTATGATGTTATTGTCACAAATTACATCTTTATACATTGTATACCCATTAGCATAGATTGATAATTATTGTTTTATGCATTTTTCTATTAAATCATATAGAAAAAAAGAGGAGTTATAAACCCAGAATATTTAGTTACCTTTACTGGTGTTCTTTATTTCTTCATATGGCTTTGAGTTACTGTCTAATGTCTTTTTATTTCAATCTGAAGGACTTTAGCATTTCTTGGATGGCAAGTCAACTAGCAACAAACTCCCTCAGTTTTTGTTTATCTGGGAATGTCTTAATTTTTCCTTCATTTTTGAAGAATAGTTCGCTGGATATAGAATTCTTGCTTGACAATATTTTTCTTTCAGCACTTTAAATATGTCATCCAACTGTGCAGAAACCTCCAAAGTTTCTGATGAGAAATCAGTTGTTAATCTCATTGAAGATCCCTTGTACATGTTGAGTTGCTTCTCTCTTGCTGCTTTCAAGATTCTCTCTTTGTCTTTGTTTTTTGACAATTTGATTATAATATGTCTCAGTGTGCATGTCATTGAGTTTATACATCTTGGAGTTCATTGAGCTCCTTGGATGTGTAGATTCATGTCTTTTATCAAATTTGGGAAGTTATGGGCCATTATTTCTTCAAATATTTTTTCTGCTCTTTCCTCTCTTTCTGGAACTCCCATTATGTGTATCTTGGTGCACTTGATGGTTTTCGACAGGTCTTCTAGGCTCTGTTCATTTTTCTTCATTCTTTTTTCATTCTGATCCTCAGACTGGATAATTGACCTATCTTTAAGTTTGCTGTTTTGTGCAAATCTGTTGCTGAACCTAGCTTGTGAATTTCTCATTTCAGTTATACTTTTCAGCTTCAAAATTTCTTTTGATTCTTTTTTATAATTTCTGTCTCTTTACTGATATTCTCTATTTGGTGAGACATCTTTCTCCTATTTTGCTTTAGCTCTTTGTTCTTAGTTTCCTTTAGCTATTTGACCATATTTAAGATAGTTGATTTAAAGTTTTGTCTAGCAAGTCCAGTGTCTGGGACTTTTCAGAGAAAGTTTCTCTTAATTTCTTTTTTTCTTGTGAATGGGCCATACTTTCTTGTTTCTTTGCATATCTCATAAGTTTTTGCTGCAAACTGGACATTTTGAATATTATAATGCGGCAACTCTGGAAATCAGATTTTCCGCCTCCCCAGGGTTTTTGTTGTTGCTTATTGGGTTGTTGTTGTTTGTTTGTGTAGTGACTTTTCTAAATTATTTTTGTAAAGTCTGTATTCTTTGTTGTGTGTGGCCATTGAAATCTCTGTTCTGTTAGCTTAGTGGTCAGCTAGTGATTTGACAAGAGATTTCCTTAAATGCCTGAAGCCAAAGGAAAAAAAATACTCTCTCAATCTTTGCAGGTTGGTTCTGTGTTGGGGCATTCCTTCAATGCTTAGCCAGACTGTTTACAACTCTGTCTTAGCCTTCACCTCCTACTTGCATGGAGCATAAAGGTCAGCCAGAGGTGAAAACTTTAGTCTTTTCAGGTCCTTTCTGAGGATGTGTCCAGCCCTGGGTATATGTGTGGACTTGCAGATTCCCTGGTGTATGTGGGAGCTTTCCAAAGACCTTATTCCTCCAAGTGTCTCCTTCCCCAGCCTCTTCCTTTCAAGGTTTTTTGATTTGTCTATTGCTTTCCTTGCCCCAACTGTTGTCCCTTATCTCAGGTGGCTGTGGCTAATACATTTCCTCTAAATGTTTTCTACAAGTCCTGCCTGGGAAACCACTTAAGCCCTGATAAAGCTCCAAGGCAGGAGAAACAAAGGCAAGCCCTTGAGTTGATCTTTCAGGGACCACCAGATGGGTCAAAACACAAACCACAATTCTTTGGGAATAAGGTTCATATTGCTCCTGTTGGTGGCAGCAATCTGCACCAGGAATGCAGGCTACCTTCCTTATGGCTGCCACTGAGCTGGGGAATGGGAGATGGTAAGTGGGTAGGTTATAATGCTACAACACTATTTTACTGAAATTCAGCAGCTTTCTTTCTTCATTAAGCATTTCCCTGGATGTTGTAAGTATTTTATTAAATTCTGGAGTTCCAAAAAAGTTGATTCTGACAGATTTTACCAGCATATCTGTTGCTTTTGTGGAGGGATGGAGATTTGGAGTGCCCTACTCTGATATTTTGGTGATTTCCTCTCCCTTACTATATATATCTTAACTTATCAGGCTCTACTTCAGATTTATGTTAACTTAATTCTAGTGAGCTATAGAAATGTTACTTCTGTATAGCTCTATTTCTCCTCTCCCCCTTTGAGCTATTATTGCTATCTATCTTGTATTAGTTTTCTATTGCTACTGTAACAAAATACCTCAAATTTACTGGGTTAAATAATAAAATTTTATTATTTTACAGTTCTGGAGGTCAGAAGTCTGAAATGAGTCTCACTGGGCTAAAGTCTAATTATTGGCAGGACTTTGTTCCTTCTAAAAGCTCTAGAGGAAAATGTTTTCTTGCCCTTTCCAGCTTCTGGAGGCCACCTGCATTCCTTGGCTTATGACTCCCTTCCTCCAACTTTAAAGCCAGTTAAATCAGGCCAAGTACTTCTCAGGCTACCATCTCTCTCCTGCCTCTCTTCTACCTTTAAGGACTCTTGTGATTACCTTGGGTTCACCCAGCTAATCCAGGATAATTTTGCTATCTTAAAGTCATCTGATTTGCAACCCTAATTTCCCTTTAACATATAACCTTACATATGCATGTGTTCTGGAAGTTAGGACATGGACATCTTTCAAGGGCCATAATTCTGCCTACCATACATCTGTATATTTTACAAACCCAACAACACATTGTTATAATTATTACTTTATATAATTTTATGTTTGAAGAAGCTGAGAAAAGAAAGGAGAACAAGTATGTATTTGTAGTTTGTTATATTAACCATCTTATTTACCATTTCTGGTTCTCTTCGTTTTCTTCCTGTGGATTCAAGTTACTGTCTGGTATCATTTCCTTTCTCCAACATAGCTTTATTCCTGTCTACCTCCTTTGTGCTGTTATGGTCAAATATATTATATTTCTATATGATATGGGCTGAACAATACAATTGTATACATATTATTTTATAACATTTCTTTTTAAGTTATTTAAGGGAAGAAAGGAGAAGAAATATGCATTTATACTGTTTTTTTTTATAATTGTTTAATTACCTTTACCAGTGCTTTTTGTTTTTTTGTGTGAATTTGAATTAGTATCTGGGGTCACTTGCTTTAGCCTGAAGAACTTCCTTTAGGATGTTTTGTAAGATGCTCGCAACAAATCCTTTGGGTTTTTGTTTATCTGGGACTGCTTATATTTCACCTTCATTTTTTAAAGATAGTTTTGCTGGATATAAGGTTCTTGATTGACAGATGTTTTTCTTTCACCACTTTGAATATGCTTTCCCACTGTCTTCTGGCTTCCATTACTTCTAATGAGAAGTCAACTGTTAATCCTATTGGGGCTCCCGTATATGTGGCAAGTCATTTTTCTTGCTGCTTTCAAAATTTTCTCTTTGCCTTTGTCTTTCAGCATTTTTACTATGATGTCTCTGGCTGTGGATCTCTTTGCATTTATCTTACTTGGAGTTTGTGGGGTTTGTTGGGTACACCGACTAATATTTTTCATGAAGTTCAGGAAGTTTTCAGCCACTGTTCCTTCTATTTTCTTCTGCTCTAGTCTCTGTCTTCTCCTTTTGGTACTTCCATTATCCATATATTCATGCCCTTAATGATAAACCTTCTTTCTTTTAGGTTTCTCTGTTCATTTTTCTTCATTCTTTTTCTCTCTGTCCTTGGAATCACATAATGTCTTTTGATCTGTTTTTAAGATCCTTACTTCTACCAGTTCAAATGCACTGTTGTGCCCTTCAGTTATTATACCTTCCAACTCCAGAATTCCCACTTGGTTATTTTTAAATAATTTCTTTCTCTTTATTGACAATCTTTATTTGATGAGACCTTGTCATTGTAGTTCCTTTACTTCTTTAAGCTTGATTCCTTCAGTTCTTTGAATGTATTTGAAATGGCTGCTTTGATGTCTTTGTGAAACCTGACATCTGGGCCCTCTCATAGGCAGTCTGCTGCCTCCCTTTTGTTCCTGTGTGTGGGTAACACTTTCTTCTTTCTTCCTATGTCTCTCTCTCTTTCTCTTTTTTTTGGTTTGAAAACTAGACATTTTAGGTAATACATTGTAGCGACTCTGGATGCTGATTCCCCTCCCCTGTTCCAGGGCTTGATTTTATTGTTTGCTTATTTATTTGTTTCTTTACCTGACTAGACTATTGTACGAAGTCTGTTTCCCCAGCAGCGTGAAGCCTCTGATGTTGCCCCTCAGAGGGCCCAGCCTTGGGCATGTGCACAGTCACCCTGGGATGACAGTGGTTTGAGCAGGGCTTTTTGACTGTCTCTCTCCCTTATCTCTTTGTCAGCTGTCTGCTTCACTTGGTATCACACCCAGCTGTTCGGCTCCACTAATTGGTGGCTTATTGCTCTATTATTTTTGACAATGCCCTAGAGCACAAATTGCTACATGGTTTGATCCAACTGAATTTGGGTAGGGCTAGTTTTTGAGTCCAGTGTGAGATTCATTCTACCCAAAGGAGAGGTCTTCGTAACTGTCTATTTTCCTTGTTCTCTCTGGTAAACTAGCTAGCCTATGTTTAGCTCATTGCTGTCATAGAGCTACCAGCCTCCTCTTAAATGCTTACCACCAAAATTTCTAGTGTTTTTGAGAGCATGCTCAGGCTTGAACTTGTCCATACCTTGATTCAAATAAAGTCAGTCTTTTGGGGAGAGTTTTCAGAGCATTCTGTTCTTTGGGACTGCCTCTCTCCCTAGGCAAAATCTCTGAGCTACTGCTTCAGGTGCTGGGCAGGGAAAGGAGCCTCTGATCTTGGCTTGGCTTTCCCAGCATGGAACAAGCAAGCTGGGGTGAGGGTGATTGGGACTCCAGTATCCTCATCTTGTTGCACCTGAGGTAGAGCCTCTGCCCTATGAGTGGGGGTGGGTAGAGGAAGGGAGCCCCTGACTTCTCAGCCACACTCACCAGGAATTTTGCCTCTGCAACTCGGAGTTGCAGGGGATGAGAAATGCTGGCAGCCAACCCTATCCCAGTGAGATACTGTATCCCTTGATTGGGATCTGAGGGGAAAGGGAGCCCCATCTTCTTGGCCACACTCACCCAGAGCGGAGCTTCCCTTAGACTGAAGTAGTGGGGATGGGGGAAGGAGGGAGTGGGTTATGGTCCAAGTGCCACAGACTCTTGCTATTCTTATTGAGTTTTTTTTAGCCAAGATTTAGTAGATTTTCTGTAATAAATGGTGTTTCTTCATTTGCTGTATGCCCTTAGGACAATTTCCAGAGACTTTAAATTGTTGTTTTTGGTTTTCTTTTTAATTATTTTTACTATTTATAGTTGTTTTGCTGGGGAACAGGCCCCCAAGGTTCCTCACACCACCATTCCAGAAGTGGAACTCTTGGGACAGGAGGTCCCAATGACCAAAGGTCATTGTTAGCCTTTTTAGGGCCATAGCAGTGAGGGAGGTAGAGACCCTGTATCTCAGGGTCCTTCAAGGTGTAAGTGATGGAGACTCGAGTCTAATTAAGCCAAGACGGGAAGTGTACTGGCCCAAGGGGTTGAGATGGCAGGCACAGCTGGCCCAAACAAGGCTGCCAAGGCTCTGTCTCTCCCTCCCTCTCTTGACTTGGCTTCTTCTGCACAGATGTCTCCCTCAGATTGGCTCTTTACATCAGCAGCCCCAGGCTCACGCTGTGAGCTCGCTGCCCCAGGAGGGAATGATTCTTTCTCTCAGTGTCCAGGGCTCATGGAGGGCCACTGATTAGCCTCACTGCAGACATGTCACCACCGCCTGGACTGGTCATGTGGCGAGGGGAACAGGGAGCGAGATGTGGGTTGTGTGCCTCCCCTGCAGCCAGCTGAAGCAGGGTGTGAGCCTGAGTCACACACAGCAGAGCCACGTAGGGGAAGGCAGGGCTCTGCCCCTCAACAGAAAGAAGGGTGCTCATTTGGAAAATTAACAAATGGCCTCTACTTGCCTCCCTTTAAAATTACATACAGAGAGGCACACGCACATTTGGGTATGATTAATTTTCACACGCTGTAAATCACTCTCACATTCTCAGAACTTAACAACAAACCTTGTGAGAGTTCTATCTCCTTTAACTGTACTTTCCACACCAAAATGAATGGCTACTTCCTGAAATGCTGAAATAAATTCCAATTGCGCAAGTAAGAGAAAGAGCAAACCTGAATCCTGACCAAAAGTAAACTTTTCCAAGAAGGCTGCGGTTGTTCGACTGTAATAAATTGAAATTGCAGAATGGCCTTTGACACGGCAATTTTCACGTCATTTTGGACATCAGATTGGTTTTGACTCTCTGTTTTGTTGGCAGTGAGGCTGAGAACTCTGACTCAGGAAAGTGCAGAATAACAAAGCGATCTCCGTGGCTTTTCTGGAAGAGGGGGGCTCGCTGGATTGATGTGCTGTGGCCTCATTTTCCACAAGCATGAGGTCACCTCTGGCAGTCTGTGCCTCACAGAGGTCGTCTGGGGCAGCAGCACTGGCTGCTGGTCCAGGATCACACAGGAAAGCTGCCTGAGATGAGGGAAGTGTCCACGCTGGCCTGCGGAGTTTCCAGATGTTTGCACACTGTCCTGGTTGAGACGATGACATAACATTGTTGCTCAGCCCAGCCTGCAGCAGCCTGGCCTCCCCTTTCTTCCTCTCACATTCCAGTTTCTTCTTGACCAAAAGACGCCATTGTTCTCCAGCACCTTCCACAAAGGGCCTGGGTTTACCAAATCCATATAGCTAAGCCCACCTGTTGGCAAACCAAAATTCACACTAAGTCCTCCCAACAAATTCTCCTGAGAGGTGGGTTTCCTTCTCTTTCACTGAACCTGAGACACCCCTCCCGACTTGGGCTGAGCTTGTCAAGGTTGTCCTCCAGGAGTTCTGTCGAGTTCTGCCGGGAGAGTCAAATGCCGTGTTCGGCTTCCCTTTCCAGACAAAACCCCTGGAAGAGGTGGGACGTGAGCTCTGAATCTGAGAACGTTTATGGTTTCCACAGCAGTGACCAAGACTTGTGTCAGTGCCTGTCAGGGTGGGGGGCAGCAACGCGTGGCTGCCGGAGCTCCTGCCCTCACAGCACAGCAAACCCACGCCTAGACACGCGTCGCGGGAGCTCATTTGATAGAGGGTCGAGTTCTGCAAAACTTCTCACCAGTTTGACAATGGCAGCAGATTTCAAGGTTTGCAAAAGGACTCACAAACTGGATTTTTCTTTGATGACATCAGTGGTCATGCCCCAGACCTTGTTGTGTTCCTGCATAATCTGTTTCAGCATCGCACTCTCTGAGCACTACCTTCTATTCTCCTGGCTCACTTCCACGAGTACCTGGACGCCAACAAACCTTCAGCCCAACTAGGACCTCCAACCCATCGATGCTGTTGCCTTTTCACTGTCTCTCGCCCACTGATGTCTTCTCTCCATCCCTTACTCAGCTTCCTTGTCTTAAATGACATGTCTGCTCATTCTGATCACTGTTGCTTTGTAACACTGGCTTGACATCCTGGTGGAATGAAGCTCTCTACCTACTTTGGACCCTGGGAGGCCCCTGAGCAGAGCTGCAGGAAAATACTTGGCCTCACAGGTGGTCTCATTTACAGTGATTGTCACAAGCCTCCGGTGGATCTTTAGGCTGCCAGCAATGAGACAGCACTCCCCTGTCTATTCACTCTCCCCTCCCTGGACGACTTTTCCTGTCTCTTTCCACGTAGCTCCAACATCACCTCCCCGTCCTCATGCACGCCTTTTCACTCTCCTCCCCTTCTGGCTATTGTCCCTTTTTTGGCTCCCTTTACAGCAAAACACCCCCACGAAGTGTTACCATCTCCAATTCCTCCCCTCCTGTTCTCTCTTAACCCACTCGATCAGGCTTCTGACCTCACCACTCTGCCAAAGCTGTCCTCCTCAAGGTTGCTGATGACTTCTATGCTGCTCAATCCATTGAACAGTCCTCAGTTCTCCTTGGTAGCGTGTGACAGGGCTGGTCCCTCCTACCCTTGGCATGCCTTACAGGACACCCGCTTTCTTGGTCTCCAGCCACCTCACTAGTCTTCTCCCCACTCTGCATGTTGGCGTGCCACCGGCTCCGTCCTCGGAGCTCTTCTCATCTCCCTCCACACCTCTCCCTTGGTGACCTCATCCATCTTACTGCTTTAGGTACCATCTAAATGCCAATGGCTCCCAGATTTGCATCTCCAGCCCAGCCCTCTCTCCTGTACTCCAGACTCGTATTCCTTCTGCCTCCTTGACCCCTGGATGCTGAACAGAAATACCGAACTCAGCAGGCCTGGAAGTGGGCTCTGGATCTTGTCCACACCGCTGCTTCACCCATGGCTTCCATCTCTGAGGATGGCTACTCCTCCCTCCCTTTTCACAGCCAAGGGTCTTGAGTTATCCCTGACTCCGCCTGTCCTCTCGCCCCCAGGTGCAATCTATCAGAAATCTGTTGGCTTCACTTTCAAAATTCACCAGAACCTGGCCACCTCTCACCACCTCCCCCTGGGCCCGCCTCGGGCCAGGCCACCACCCTCTGCCTGGACGGCAGCAGCAGCCTCCTCACGGGTCTCCCTGCCCGCCTCACCCCCAGGCGAGCCTCAGTGCAGCAGCCGCAATTGTTTTTTCTTTGCCAGCTTTATTGACACAATTCATATACCATACAATTCACCCATTTAAAGTGTACAAGTCAGTGGCTTTTAATATATTCTCAGAGTTGGGCAACCATCACCACAATCAATTTAGAACATTTTCATCAGCTCTGGAAGACCATACACTCCTTAGGTTCACCCTCCATTCCTCCCTCCCCCACTGTAGGCAACCTCTCATCTTCTTCCTGTCTCCATGGATTTGCCTCTTCTGGGCATTTCATATAAGTGGAATCCTACACTGTGCAGTCCTCTGTCCATGATTCTTTGACACCTTCAGTCAGATCATGTCTGTCCTCTGCCTAAAACCCCACAGTGGCCCCACTTCATTCAGCTTAGAAGACAGCTGAATCTGCGAGACCCTCTGCCGCTCTGTACCTGCCGTCACCTGTTCTCCCACTCGCTCACTGCAGCCTCCTGGCTCCTGGGCCTGCACGGGCTCTTCCTTCTGCCTGGATGCTCCTGTGACTCCCTCCCTCACCCCATTCAAGTCTTTGCTCACTTGTCCCCTTTCAGAGATCCACCCTGACCACTTGACTATTTTGCAGCCTCCTCTTTTCCCTGTCCTGGCCCTGACACTCCCAATCTTCCACTCTTCATTTTCTTTCTGTCCTCAGCACTCACCATGTTCAGTGTACTCTGTAAGTTACCTAGCTCTTGTCTGGCCCTCTGCTAGAATGGAAGATTCCCATCAAGGAGCTGTGTTCCCGTCTGGTGTGGCCCAGGAACAGTCCAGGCGTGTGCTAGGCTCTCAGTCAGTAGCTGGGGGATGAATCCGTGCACACGAGCAGGTGAAAGCCGGGACTCAGCTCCACGGAGGGGTGTCAGCTGTTCACTTGCTGCGTGTTCTGGAGAACTAGAGCCGCTCCAACTCCTCTCAGCTTCCTTCAGGCTTAGGAGGTGCATCTGTGCCCCCAGAGTGGGTGGAACAGCTTCAGTGTCTTCTGAGCCTTCGAGCAGCGTGGCCGTTAGCAGAGCCCAGTTGCACCAAGGTCTGCCTAATGACACGGCTTGGTGTGTTTGTTGTAGGATGTTCATGGCTTTCGTGGGGGCAGCTCCCAGTTCCAGCTGAGTAACCGTCCCTTACATGGACACTCTCACGAGAGCAGCCATGTGGTCTGATGTGTTTTGAGAGACGCAGACATCGTGGGCTTCATTAGCTTGTTGGTTTGTGCTTGTTTTGTCAACACTGCAGGACGAGAAGCACTAGGCTCTTGTCTCCTGGGGAGTTCAGGGACGAAGGCAAAACCAGGGGACACACGTACCCCGAGACACCTCCTGTCCTTGACATTTCACGGATGGAGCCACCCCACAGGAGCACAGGGAGAGGCCCAGAGGCCCCTTACGAGACTCTGTCTCCTTCAGTTCCACCAGCAGGAACCTCTTGTAGACGCTCTAACACGGTGGCTCAGAAAACCATCACCTGGCCTCGGGCAGCGCACCCTTGCTGCCCTACCGTTGTGAAGCCACACTTAACTGACGTGATTGGGCTCAAAAGTATGAAGACCTTCTTCAGAGTGACTGAAGGGATCTCAAAGGGGTTTCCTGAACTCATATCCAAGTTCTCTGATGGCCTCGTTCCCCGCAGACCTCTGGCTTTGTCTCCATAGTCCTTGTTGGGGACTTAGGACCTCAGTCAGGGCCTGGAGAGGGGTGTTCCTGGAGGACTCAATATTTATTCTCCCTTTCAGCCTTGTGGGGGTGGCTGGAGCCATTGGGACTGATGTCCATCTGCCCCGAGAACCTGGAGATAGTGTTTATCCTTTTAGTGTTCAGGACAGGGTAGGTGTGTCTCCTGGGCCTAGAGTCCACGGGCTTGGAGGGAGAGACGATTCTGAACCCACACAGAGAGAAGATGCTCCCGGAGCAGCCCTCCCCCTACTGGAGTTGAGCCAACCATGGGCAGAGGGCTGGGCAGGACGCCGCCACCTGATGGGTCAACAGCTCACAGGCGCAGCAACATCTGGAAGCTAGGCTGGGGCAGGGGCTTCGTGGCTGAGCACTGTTTCAGGCCTGTGGGGCAGAAGCCTTTCCTGTCTGCTCCGTGACAGCTGGAACAGGAGGGCAACTGGGACCAGGACTAGGGCTGGTGGACTTGGGGTGACAGGAGACAAGGCTGAGGCTGAAAGATGTCTGAGAAGGGGCTGAGCCAGATGAGGGGTGACGCAGGTGCTAGCGGGTGATGAGGAGCGGTTGGAGCAATCCTGATGTGGAGGGGACCTGGGGAGACCCGAGGGCCTGCTAGGAGCTCTGTGTGGGGCTCATGTGCTTTATGTGGGGCCCAGCAATAGAGAGGACCAAATTGGTGTGCGTCAGTCCTGGATTCTAGTTGGTCCGGGAAGAGGCAGTCCACCCTCCTTCCTGCCTCCCTCCCCACCCCCTTCCACTGGCCCCATCAGATGCCTGGGGCAAGGTGGGAACAAGGCCCCCACCCTGTTACCTAGAACTTTTCTGCAGCACCAACCTCTAGAACGTAAGACAAAGGGGCTGGGTGAGTGTCTTGAAGACCCCCAGCTGATTCTTGTTGGTGCCCATCTGATTTCCCCTCAGCCCGGGCCTGTCACAGTTGGCAGAACTCAGACGCACATAGATAGATGGGCACTTGGTTCCATCGGCGTGAAGGACGGCATCTTTGTTTCACCTACCCTGAGCGTTTTGTGGTGTCAGCGACACAGGGATAGGCTTGTTTTCTTGCTCTTTGTTTATTCCTTCATCCCGTCATGCATAAGCCTTCACTGAGATCCTCCTCTGGGCCAAGGCTGGTGGTCCAGAGATGAATCCAACACACGCTTTTCCTTCGGGAACTCATGAATTTACAATTTCATGTGATCAATGTTTTAACAGAAGAAAGTACAGGGTGCTATGAGAGTCTAGAAAGGAGAATGACTTGCTCTGTTTGCAGGGATGATGACCTGGGTTTTGAAGACTGAAAAGGAGTCTGCCAGAAAGGGCAGGGCGGGCATTCTGGGCAGAGCAAGCAGTGTTTTCTAGGACCTATGGCTGTAAGTGCCTTGCATGGACATCAGTGAGTCTCCTGGGCAGAAGACGAGAGTGTGGGGTAATGGGTGGTGCTGGTAGGGTGTCAGGCCCATCAGGAGGCCCTGGCCAGTGAGGCTCACGCTACTGGGTGGTCTGGGTTAGCCCGAGAACTGCTGCAGGGGCCGACGTGGTGAGGTCTGTGAGGAGGCTGCTGCCGGCCTGGTGGAGGTGATGAGGCATGATCTCATCATGAACAGAGGAGAGGGGGCAGATTTCGAGGAATGGAGGGGGAAGGTGCCAGGATTTGATGACTCCTTGGGTGTGGAGGGGCGATGGGTGGATCAGCGATGTCTACTGGGATTGGGGTAGGACAGGCAAGTTTGTTTGGGGCTTGTTGTCACGGAGGTGGCCGTGGATGCCTCCCCACCAGGGATAGTTTTGGGCAGCTGGGTGGTGAGTCTGGAGCCCAGGAGGCTGGTACAGGCTACAGATGGGCAGGTACCCGTCAGCCCGTGCATGGTCATGGAGGTGGAGGGAGGAGAGAGGAGAGCGAGTGTGACCCCAAGGATGCACAGCCCTCCGTGGTGAACAGACAGAAACTTGGGGTGGGGGCAGAGTCTCCTGGGCTGTCTCCTGCTCTCCCTCTCTGAGCTTATCCGTGCAGAGTTGGCAGATTCCACCTGGGATCTGCCCAACAGCTCAGAGTCCAGGATTGGCAGATTCCACCTGGGATCTGCCCAACAGCTCAGAGTCCAGGATTGGCAGATTCCACCTGGGATCTGCCCAACAGCTCAGAGTCCAGGATTGGCAGATTCCACCTGGGAGCTTCCCACCTGGGTAATGTGACACAGTGCAGTCAGAATTCCCTGCAAAGCAGACGTTAAGCCCCATGGTGCCCTGGTTGTGGGGACAGTGATGTCCCTGGGTGCCTGCTGAGGATGCCCCTGCAGTGGGGAGTTTCTCTGGTGGCAGGCAGCATGAACGGAGTCTGGCCCGAAGCCAGGGTGGAATTACTGGGAGGACAGTAGGACACCCACAGAGTCGGTGGGGAGACAGGGGGCCACCCTGGGGAAGGACCTGGAAGCCAAGTCACTTGGGGTCCCAGCAGCAGGAAGGGCTTGGCAGCTGTGAGCCACCTGCCTGGCTCAATATCCGAGTCTGGTGAGGGAGGGGCTGATTGGCTAGCAGAGGGCTGCGTGCACCTGGGGCCAGTGATTCCTGGGAATAAAACAGGGAAGCTGCTCCAGGAAAGGGGAGACTGGGTGCGGAGCAGTCCCTCAAACCTTGGTGCCTGCTCCTTGGCCCCTGGAGGTGGCTGCCCAGTGCCCAGGGGTCTCAATGTGAGTGCATGTGCATGTGCGTGTGGGTGTATGCACAGGGGCACATGGCCGCAGACTTGGATGTGCGAGAAAGGCCTTGCTCCCTTTTGTTTTTTGAGAACTCCACTGTATTAAAAAATGAAGGCGTGCCACACAAGTACATGAATCGTGTACATTTTAAGTATGTGCATGAACTGAAGGAAGTCTTGTACCAGACACAAACACGCTGAGGGCAGCAGTGCCAGCCAAGTCCACAGTCTCCAACAGGCGGGGGCTCCAGAGAGGGGACCCCAGGTTGGAGCTCTTGAGCCTGTCTTTCCCCCAAACCTCACCTTCTCTGTGCGCCTGCATGCACATCCTCCCAGGTGTAACATCAAAGTGAGTGTCTGAGGCAGGGTCTCCCTCTGGCCTCTGCAGGGCCAGGCCCTAGAGTGCTTATGGGAATGACCACCTCAAGGCCTGCTCATGCTCGTCACAGCTGAGCCCAGGGGAGCATTTCAGGGTCAACGTCCTGCAAGTGCCCAGGACAGAGTGAGCCCTCATGATGCCTGCTGACCCAGAGGGGCCCAGGCCATGCTTCCTGGTCATTCCACCTTGCCCGCCTGCCCACCTACTCAGCCCCGCCCACCCGCCGGGACCGCCTCTTGCTAAGCCACTTAGTCCTGCGATGTCTTTCCTTCGACAAGCCAGCCCATCGACAGGGACTCCCAGGGATTTGATTGCAGTGCTTTCTAACAAAGTCAAAAACGAATTTCCATGAGAGGTTTATAGTGAAGTCATTATGGTGCTTGGTGTTGTGTGCCAAGGTGCAGGAATGTGTGGGGTAGGGCTGTCAAGAGAAAAGTTCAGAAAATTAAATGAGAAAGAAGGAAGGGGAGCATTAGGGGAGAGGCCGAGAGCAGCCGAGGGCTCCCAGCAGCCTGGAGAAGGGTGAGAAAGGGGACTTGTAAAAAGGAGCCATTTCACACTTAATTATGGTTTCCCAGCAGGTGCTCAGGGAGTGACGGTGTGCACGTAAGGCGGGCAGTTCCCGGAATTAAACATTCGTGGTGCCTGCGGCCCGTTTCCTGCCTGGGGATGGCTTTGGAAGGAGAAGTGATTCTTTCCTCTTGGAGGTGATTTCAAGAGTAGCCCGGGGAGGGGAGTTTCCTAGAGAGCTGGGCCTTGGAGTATCCACCCTTGAGCCCCAAGCGGGCACAGGACCCCTCACAGGAGCTTTTGCTGGTGGCCCCTGGAGGCCCAGGCTGGGCTGGATGCTGCTGAGTCCTGGGGAATGGGGCAGGGGACTGGCTTTTGTGACCCATTCCCATATTTGGGTCCATTTCAAGCCATTTGAATCTGACTGTCTGGCTGTCTCCTCCTTTCGCTCGATTCTCTGACAGAGGGCCCAAAGTTGTCCTCACATACCTTGAGCCTCGGCTGTCTTATGTGCACTGAACACATACTCTGTGGGCTATTGCCAGGATCATTATGCCCATTTTTCAGATCGGGAAACCAAGGCTCAGAGAGGGAGAGTGGCTTGGCTGTGTTTTATAGCTGGGAGGCGGCCTTGCTGGAATCAAAACCTAGGGCCTCTCGGGTGTGGGCGGGGAGCACGGAATCCACTGACCTAGCTTATCCCGGGTGGGCACGCACTGCTGAGCCTTCATCCAGACCACGAGTCTCAGTGCCTCGTCTTGGAAGGGGTGCGAGGATTCCTGGTTGGATGGTTGTAGACGTTGAGCCAGGTGACAGGTGTGAAGGCATCGCCTCTGGCGTGCTCTTGCAGGTGCTCGGAACGACAGGCAGGGCGGCGAATGTCAGCCGGCCCTCATCCCAGCGAGTTAGGATCTCGCTGGTCCCAAGGGCAGGGCTGGCAGACCCAGACATGTCTGCTGGGTGCTTGGGCTGCAGGTGCCTTTGCTGCTCTGAGAAGCATCAGACAGACGACACAAGGCCGTGGCTGCGCTGGGTTCAGAGCCAGTCCTGGGCCAAGAACTCCTCTCACCCCACACCCGGCCAGCCTTGGGCTCTGGCAGGTGGAGGGGGTGCTGGCCTGTCCTGCTGGAGGCCTTGGGCTGTGACGAGTCGGCCCTCATCCAGCACGCCTGGCTGGAGAGGACAGGACAGCTGGCTTGTGCCCAGACAGGATCCTGGGGAGTGGGCTCATAACCGACTCTCTGTTCACCTGGCCTCCTGTTTGCAGTCACTTTGATGTCCTTCACCTTATGCATCGGGAATGGCTTACATTCTCTCATACACCAAGGACCCCTGGACCACCCTCCAGCCCAGCCCTCTCTCTGTGCCCCAGACCCCTTGGACCTGAGTGCCTAGTGGACATCTGTCCTCCGGTCCCCCCAGAGCCTCAGGCCCAACATGCCCCAGCTGGCCCTCCCTAGTCCACGTGGCTCCTCCTAAGGTCCCCCTGCAGCAAAGGGCTCCCCAGGGCAGTTGTCTGCCCAGCTCAGCCCCTGCTCCCCACATCACAGTGGTGATGCTGCCTCTCAGCCCTTGAGTACCTGTCTACTTGCTTCATCCCCACTCCGTCCCCATCCCACCTCCTCACGGAAACTGGGGCTGCCCTGAAGAACACACTTCTCCCGGGAGTGCTGTCTGGGAGCTGGTGAGCACAGAGCCTGGCCGAGTCACATCTGCTTTTAAGTCAGGAAAGGAAACCCCAACCCTTTTAAAGTAGAACATGATGATTCTTGTAGTCTCTGCCAGCCCAGCCACTCAGCCGGTCCTCTGGAGCCTTTGGGGTGTCCAGGGCGGCCAGGGGCCTAGTGAGCTAGCCCTATGCTATCCTCTCTGCAAGAAGGGCAGCCCTTGGGGGCCATGGGATCCGGGCTTGGAGTGCATCCCCCCGCCCCCCGGCTTGTTAGGAAAGGCCCGTGTGAGGCTGCATCACGGATTAAATTCACAGGGTTCAGCACTTGCTCTCACTTCTCGTTTCCTCCCTTCTCTACATGGGCTGATCAGACGAAGCCCCATCAACACCGTGGTGTAACAGGAGGCTCTGCACTGTGGGGAGCACGGGGAGTGCCCCGCGGTGGCCGCTGTGGAAGCACAGCAGCTCCAGGTCTTTCGTAGTGACTGCAGCTGTGAAGCATCATGGGAGAGGGATGTGGGGCTCCACCAGGGCTGATCAGGGTTCCCCTAGCCCCCAGGGTTCTGAACCCACCGAGCTCACACACGAAGACAAACAGGACAAACCCTCAGAGTCTGCGGGCCTGGACAGTGGCCGGGGCCCACAGCGGGGCCGACCGAGGCCTCTTAGTACCGTCCCCGCTGTCCGCACTCGGGGTTCCCCGTGGACAGGTGGGTCTGAGAGGAGCCGCTCACAGCTGGCCTCCTGCGCCTCCTGCTGTGGAGGACAGGGAAAGGCCAGAAAGACAGGAAGGAAGGCAGCGCCTGCCTGAGGAGGGAGGGCTGAGTGTTCTGGACACTGGCAGGGAGAGAGGGCTGGGGGTGGGGGGAGCTCCAGGGCCCAGCAGGACTCAGGAGAGGACATGGGAAGAGGAGTGTCCCTCCCATGTGGAGCTCTTCTTTGGGCTGATCAAAGGTGCCCGGCCACCAGGTGTGCCCTGCCTGCCCTGTGGGTCTCCTGGACTGGCAGTCAAGAGGCCCCAGCCCCCAGGGCCACCCCACAGCCCTTTGGCCCCAGGCATCAGCTAGGAGGGCCAGGGACAGTCCCAGCTCACTCCCTCCTACTCCTTGAGCAGGCCCTGGGCAGGGACGGACATGAGGAGCAGTAGGCAGCTGGCCATCTTCCCCATCAAAGACCCCTCAGACTTGCCCAGTGTGGGACCTTTGGAATCTCTCGTCTCATTTTCCTGCACGGTCCACGGCAAGGTTTTAAAGAGTGAGGTCCCCAGGCATGTGCAGCCCCAGGGCATGCACTTACGAGCAGAGCACAGCAGCCCCTACCGCCCAGAGCTGTGCAGGGCACCATTGTGCGCAGTGACCCTGAAAGTGGACCCTCAGTGTCTCCCTCCTATGGGGCAGCACACACTCCATTTACAGCATCTCCAAGTTCCAGTTCATAGCCAGACACCAACAATACAAGCTGGAAGCCCCGTTGGGGTGCTGAGCAGCTAAGACTACTTCATGCTGCCACAGAAACGCTTTCCTGCTTCTCCTGGTCCTCGTTAGAGCCCCGCACTTCAGGGCTGAAACTGACGGGGTGAGGCGGAGCATGGGTCTTTGTGCCACAGGGTCATGGCAGATGTGGCTCTGGGACGAGGTCCCCAGCTTGGCGGGGGTCCCCTGACACGTTCAGCAGCCGCTTGTCTACTGGCCCCGAGTGGCCTCATCTGAGGCTTTGAGGGTGCAGTGGGCCGAGCTGGATTCTGGAGTCAGACGCTTGACCTGCTGCCCCTTGCTGCTGTGAGGCCATGGGCCGGAACATGACCTCCCTGGGCTTGTCCCTCAATCTGTGTAAGAAAGGGTCCGTTCCTGACCCATGGTCTGCTGTGAAGAATCAATAAGGGGTGTCTGTAAAGCCCCGATGCCTGATGTTGCTGATGTCGTCTTCATTGTCAACAGTGGGGACCTTGTCCCATCACACTGCTGACAAGGGTGTCTGGAGAATTCTCCGTCCTGGGAAGGTGGCTTGGTCATACAGTGTGGCCCATCCTGCAGTGACACCCTGAGTCCCAGCGTCAGCCAAGAACAGCCATGTGTCCCAGCCTCAGCACCTTGGTATGTCCAGGCTCCAGGTGGGGCCGGGAGTGGGGCAGGAGGTAGCAGGGGATCAAGGGATGATGGCAGGCTGCTGAGAGTCTGTGCATTTCGATCATGGCCTGGCAGGAAAGGGTCTCACACAGGGCCAGGTTGCATCCCACCCCTCTTGTGTGTGTTGGCACCAAGCACCTCCCAAAGGACCAGGACCCTCACCCTGCAGTGCCCTCACCCACCGTGCGTGACTCGGGATTCAACATCCGAGAAGATGAAGGGCCCAGTAAAGGAACTGAGGTTGGCAGCTGAGAGAAACGCTTTGGAACTTGGATTTGGAGAATCCAAAGGCCAATAGGGAGCTAGTTTCCTGGTGGAGGTGTGAGCTAGGGCAGAGGCGGGGGTGGGGGGTGGGGGCAGGTTCCGGAGACCCTTAGGGTGAGGAGGGAGCTAACACTGTGGGTGGGGGAGGAGCAGGCCCTGTTGCTGGCATGGTCCTGGGTGGATGCAGGTCGCAGGCCCTGGGGTGGGCGGTGCAGCTGGACGTGTGGGCAGGGCGGAGGAGGCTGCAGTCCTGGATTCCGCATGTGGGTGCCTGAGGGCCTTCCAGGGAGCCATGTCAGGGAGGCTGCCACGTGTCCCAGTCCAGGACACTGGGAGCGAGTACGAGCCTGGCGAGAGGGCTCTCCCTGCCTGTGACGTGCTTATACAAGCTGTGCACAGGCGGAAGCTGCCAGGCGCGTGGCCCCGTGGCGTTGGCCATCAGCATCCCACTTGCCAGTCTCCCGCTTCCCCCACATTCAAAACGAAGTCCCAGGGAATCCTCCCTTCTGTTGGGACCTGTGGGTGTCTGTGTTTTGTTCTGAAGTTCACAGTAAATGTTTTCATTAAACGATCTGCCAGGCTCTCCATTGTGTCCCACCATCTGGCTGCTTCGTACTAGGGAGTAGCAGTGAGGACTAACTTGGGGCCAGCTCCCCTCCCACGGCTGACGGCCCCCAGGGAGTCACCAGCCACAGGGTGCCCTGGAGGCCAAGGCTGGTCCCGGGACCCTCCCTGCACTGGCTCTGTGCAGGAGTGCAGCCAGGCCAGAACTCAGCTAGGCACCCTGCTCTCGCCATCCCCAGGCCTCGTGTTACTGAACCAGGTGGATTCACCTCCTGGTGACTTAAATAAGACTCTACACAGTGGAAGTTGTCCCACAAAGTAAAGTGTATTTGCAGCAAATAGGAGGCCATGAGGAATCATTTCTAAAGTCATGGCGTCCCTAAACAAAAGAAAGCAGGAACTTTTGTTAGGTTGGGGAATGAATATTCAAAAGGGAGAGGCGGGTATTCGCTTGCACAGGCTCAGTTGAAGAACATGCTTCCACACAATGAGGCCTAAGCTCCTCCTGGAGAGATCTTTGCATTAAAGATAAGGCAAAGGTCCTGGGCATAGCTCTTGTGGTAAAGCTTGGTCAGTTTCAGGATGGCTACTGGTTACATCTCCTTAACATACAAAAGGAAAAGAAATAACTTGGAAAATCAGTTAATTGCATCAAAACCCCCCTTTGAATTTCTCGAGGCCCATAGTCCGTGACACCCGGAGTCCCCAGGGACCTGGTTGCTGAAGGAGCCTTCATGAATCCCTGGGGTGGGTGGGCTTCAGAAGCCAGCAGGAGGGTGGCATGGGGGGAGTGGGCAGGTGCGGAGGAGCCTGGGCCGTTCTTCGGGTGTGGGGTGCAGAGGGGGCCAGGGCCGTTTGCGAACCTCTGTGTGAGGGATCTGGAGCCATTGAAGGTTTTGAGAACGGTGGAAAGGGATTTGCTTTCTAAAGCAGATCTATCTGGTAAACCAAATCATATTCAGAATGTCTCTTGGTAAATTCCCAATGTGTCTTTTTATTCTGAATTGGGATTTACAGCCTAACCAGTCCTGTCAAGACCTCACCAACCATTGCTTGGAGCCATGTAGAAACAGATTGCACATATGACATAGCATTTAAGGAATTAACACATATCATATCATGTACTGGTTGGCCCTAAGCCATGCTGTGGGGAGCCCCGAGGGGCTCTGAGAGCTCCTGGTCAGTCAGCACAGCGCTGCTGGTTTGGGCCCAACCTCAGTGTCCTTAACACTTCTGCTGGGGCCATTGTGTCATCAGGAGGTCCCCTCACTTCTCAAGGACTTGTGTCTGTGGGGGCTGAACCAGAGCCTGGCCCCTTTCTCTCAGCTACATACCTTAAATCCACAGGGGACTTTCTCTCATCTCCCTCCATACTGGGGTCCCTCCAAAGGGAGCAGGTGCAAGTACAAGACAGAACAGAGAGGCACCATCTGATGCTAATAGTCTGAGGATGCTCTGGCTACAAAATCTAACGACGGTGTCTAGCTTCAGCCAACGCATATGATTGTATGTGTTGGGGGGTGGGTCATGTTAGGACTCAAGTCATTGCAAGACACAGAAATCCAAATGAATTGACTCAAAGGGCTGGAAAGTCCAGGAGTGTATCAACTTCAGCCGTGGCTGGATTTGGGACCTCAACGGTGTCACCTGTTCTCTTCATCTCTCAGCTCTGCTTCTCAAGGGAGGAGGAGGCCCCAGCAGCCCCTGGCTCACGTTTTACCAACTCAGCAATCCCGGAAGAGAGAGAAGAGAGAGTTATCTGCCCAGATACTCCAACAAATGCTTGGCATCAGGGCTCATTGGCCTGCCTGGGCCAGGTGGGCTGTCCTGGAGCGGGGGCTCAGGGGGGTTGGCTCCCCTGAGCCATGTGGCCTGGAGTGGGGAGGGTGGCTCACCAAAGGAACAGCAAGGAGCAGCACCCAGAGAAGGGGCAGGTTGCACGCGGCAGTGCTCCGGGTGGCTCCATTCACTTCCAGCAGGGCAGGGGGTGCTGGGTGGGCCAGGGTCCATGTCCACTGCTGAGGAGCCCTGGGATGGCATGCTCGAGGGCGGTTCTCTCTCCTTCTCCAGAGCCGGCGTTCCTTCCCTGAAGTGCTGGAAGGGTGAGCAGGCCTGGAACTCGAGGTAGTTTATGCGCCTCCGAGCTCTTGTCTCTGAGATGCAGCACAGCTATTACAGACGCGGCCCTGATGGACAAGCCGAGGGCCAGTGTGGCCCAGGAGCCCCTCCCCGCTCCTCCCCTCCACCTTGAGTCGTAAAAATGACACAGGATGAGCTGCGTCTGCCCGAGTTGCAAAAATTAATTCTGATTTGGTAATAAAGTTATAAAGGACTGAGATGAAATAATCCTAATGAGCTTCTTTTAATAAAGCTCACCAGTGGGGCTCTGTGCTGATGGCCCCCGCGGGGCTGAGCCTCCTGCTCCCAGAGCCTCCGAGGAGCCTGCCCGTTTCCAAACAGGGCTCTTGCGGTGTCCTGATTATGCTTCTCCATAAACGTATTTTATCTTAATGATCATCTGTAGGGGAGTTTGCAGTCACAGAGGGCTTGTCTCTTGGTCATTTACAAATGAGGGCGATGACTTTCCTCCAGACGACCTCCCCTGGGTGGGGGTGCCAGTGTGCTCCCTGAGGCTACTGGTGCCCAGGACTCTGTCCCCCAGGCTTGGCCTGCTGTGTATGTTGGGGCCTGCAGCCGTTGCAGCAGGAGAGCTGGGCTGGCGCTCTGGCCTTGCTCTAGTTCCATAAACATCACCCTCCCCTTCTTTGCTACATGGCAGTTCCTGCTCTGCAGGGTGGTTGTGGAGATTTAAGCTTCAGGGACTGAGCACTGGGGAAGGGAGAGTGATTCATTCTCGTCCACATGCTTGACAGGTTGGGCAGCAGGACCCTCAGCACGCACGCCCACCCACCCATGTGCGTGCCCAGCTGAGGCCAGGGGTGTGTGAAACAGCTCATGCGCAGGGGGCAATTGTAGGGGGGACTCGGAGAGTGCACTGGCCTTGGAGTCCAAAGCCTGCCCAACACGGAGATTATAAAAAAGCATTTAGCTGAATTTTCTTCTAGCACTTCTGTGACTTCATTTTCATCATCCCGGGTCACCAGTCCACCTGGGATTGGTTTTTGCTTAAGGTGTGAGGTCAGGAGTTGATCTTTACCTCCTCCATCTAACCAGGTGTCCCAACATTATTAAAAAAAAGAGACCACTCAATTCCACAACCCGCTCTCTCTTCTCTCCTTTTCCCTTGCAATGAGCAACAGTTCTAAGGGGATCAAAGGGGATCCTTTTGTCAGTGTGTATTTTTGCAAAATAGGTGTTGCTCCTTGAGTGTGTATGTTTTTAATTGACATAAATTGTGCTGCATTGTACATCTCATGCTGTTTCTTGCTTTTTGCACTCGGCACTCTGTTTCTTAGATCCCTCTGTCCATGTGGATGTCAAACTTCTAACCTCTGCGTGGCATTGTGCGGGTTGCACCTCTCCCCTCGCCCACTGAAGAGAAAGGTTGCCTCCAACTCCCCCCAACCCATCCAAACAGCACGACCATGAATAGTTCTCAGGTGCCTCCTGAGGGGCCTGTGTGAGCATGCCTGTCTGCACACTCAGTCAAGGGGAGTGAAAAATGGTCCACAGGGCAACGGTTGGTCTAAGGACGGGACTGGGATATCTTGTAGACACCCCATGTCTTTAGATGTAGACCCCAGAGTAAAATTGCTGGCCCTCAGGTGCCCTGCACGTAGTTGACTCAGTAGTGCCAGATTTCCACAATGTCCACAGCTGCTCCACTTCCACCATTTACCAAATCACCTGGTTTTGAATTGCTGCCTTATCATTTACTAATTTTATTTTCTATTTTATCATTTGATCCTCTTTACAATTTACACATAAATGAATATCAAAAGTAATTAATATTAAAATGGAGGGCAGGCACGCACCAGCTGTGCCAGGAGAGGGCAGCACAGCCCCCGCTGGACGGAGGCTCCAGGAGGAGGTGTGCAGAACAGTCTCTGGGTCACAGTCTGCCTTCTGCTTCTCTGGGAGTTGACAAGGCCCCTTCAGGGGAAGTTGCGAGCAAGGCCACAAGTGAGTCTTGAGAAACACAGGGCTCTCCACAGTCGGGTGCCTGGCAAGACTGAGGTGCAGACCAGGCGCTGGACACGCAGCAGAAGTACAGTCAGAGGAGTGGGCTGCTCTGTCCTTTCCACTCTAAGCCCACCGTGGCCTACCTCCAGCTCTCAAGGAGAAGCTGAGAACTTCTGTGAGTGATATGCGTGCCCTCAGCAGAGCATGAGGAGAGAGACCCTCATCAGCACACAGCCAAGACAAGCCACATACTGATGAGAATCTCGGCTACACTCTCCTGGGCATTCTGTCCTCTGGTTAAGATGGCCCGATGGAAGTAGGGTCTTGGTGATGACAGTCTATCTCTTGGGTCACACTGCTGCAGGGTGGCTCAGCTGCCCTCCACATCTGGTGCAGAGCTGTCATCCTGGGATCACTTTTCACCATCCTCTGGGATTCCCTCCTCATCTCATGTTGGGTCTCCTGCTTCCTATATCTGTGGTCTTCCACTTTCTTGGTTGCCTCTTTTGTTTTGCAGAAGCACAGTCTTCAGTAGCTTCTTGAGAAGGGGCGCTGGACAGGTAAAACTTCTGAGAACTTACATGTCTGGAAATGTCTTTATTCCACTTTCATACTTGAGTGAGAATTTGGGTATAGAATTCCAGTTGGGAAATAATTTTCCTTCTGAATTTTGAAGGCTTTGTTCCATTGTTTTCCTGCTTCTAATGCTGCTTTTGGGAAGTCTGAAGCCATTCTGGTTCCAGTCCTTTGTGAACTCTTCTGTAACTGCTTCCCCACCCCCTTATTCTCCATGAAAGTTTGGAGTAGAAGCTTCCCTGTGTTCTGAAATTTCATGACAGTGTGCCTTGGTGTGGGTTTATTTTATCCACTGTGCTGGGGACTAGCTGGGACCTTTCAGTCTGGGGACACCTTCCAGTTGTGGGAAATTTTCTTGAATTATTTCATTAATTCTTTCCTCTCTGTTTTCTCTTTTCTCTCTTTATGGAGCTTCTGTTATATGGATGATACACCTTGTGTCTCGTCTTCTAATTTTCTTATCTTTTCTCCTGATTGTTCAAGTCTTTGTCTTGTTGTTTTCCTTCCGGGGAGATTTCTCAGCTTTATCTTCCCAATCCTTCCATTGAGTTTATCATTTCTGCTGAGATGCTTTTAATTTCAAAGAACCCTTTTGGCTGTTCTCATCCTGTTCTGTTTAATGGATGTAATATCTTCTTCTAGCTCTCAGAGGTTACTAATGATAGGTTTCACCACCTTCCTGCGTAGTCTCTGTTTCCTCCACTTTCCTCTTTTTGGTGATTTTCTCCATCTGTCATGTCTGGAGCTTATTCTGAGGGGTGGTTATTACTGGCTGGCTGCTCATGTGTAAGGTTGGGCTACAAAAGAGGTAACTGGGAGCTCAATGCATGTGGGAGGGGACCATGGACAGTGATACTGCTTTCTGGTCAGAGTCCCTAGAGAAGAGCCCCATTCCACCACCACCAGTCTTCTGCCTGGGAGTAAAGGCCTGAGCACCAGCATTCCATGCGTGAGTCGTGGAAGCAGGCTGGTGCCTCAGCATTCATTTCATCCTCCTGACTTCAGTACGGGACATGTGCTCTCCACCACACCTGGTGCCTGCAGCCCAGAGACCTTCTTTTCCACCTTTTTGAGAGAGAATGAGCTTCCAGACCAATGCCAGTGTCAGTTATGGGGGACAGGGTATGTGGAGAGGATTTGGTATTAGCCATCAAGTGGTCCTACTTATTTCAATCCGCCCCTCTCCCCCACTTCCAGAGGTACTTGGTGCCGTTGGAGGATTCTGCGATGAGTCTTGGCTCTCCTCATCGCCAGCTTGGGATTCCACTTTCTCTGGTATATTAAGTCTGTCACCGCGTGGCCATCTGCTTTCCAGCCAACAGTCCTGCTGTTATTTCTTCCTCTCCTGCTCTCCCTGTCCTTGTGGGCTTCTGAGTTTTTAAAAAACATCCCTTTACTAAAGCTGTAATGGGCTTCCAGGAAGGAGCTAAATTGAATGCATGTGTTCAATCTACCCTTTTTATCCAGAAGCTCCCCATATGCCTGGTTCTGTTTTTGGACTTTTTGTCGTTCCATTGATCTTTCATGACAGTAGTACCGGCATGTTCTAATTAATGTTATTTTGTAATATGTTCTGTTAATTTGAAAGGTAAGTACCCTCCTCATTATTCTTTTCAATATTTTTCTGGCTATTCTTTCATATGTAGTCTTCCAGTTAAAATTTGGAATTAATTTGTTGAGTTTTAACAATTCTTTGATACAGATTGTGTTAAATTTATAGATTAATTTGGAGGAGAATCAACTTCCATTCCACAGTTGTGTCATTTGTCTCTATTTACTGAGGTCTTCTTTGTATTTTTGGAGAGTTTTAGACTGTAGTATATTACTCTTTTTTTTTTTTTTTTGGTGAGGAAGATCAGCCCTGAGCTAACATCCATGCCAATCTTCCTCTTTTTGCTGAGGAAGACTGGCCCTGAGCTAACATCCATCGCCAATCTTCCTCCTTTTTTTTCCCCCAAAGCCCCAGTAGATAGTTGTATGTCATAGTTGCACATTCTTCTAGTTGCTGTATGTGGGACGTGGCCTCAGCATGGCTGGAGAAGCGGTGCGTCGGTGCGCGCCCAGGATCCGAACCCGGGCCGCCAGTAGCGGAGCACGCGCACTTAACCGCTAAGCCACGGGGCCGGCCCCTGTAGTATATTACTCTTTGTGTGGACTTTGTACGTTCATTATTTTTGTTTATTCTGAGATATTCTGTGGGATTTGTTGCTATAGTTGATAAGCCCTTTTTTCCATTCTATTTTCTGTCTGGTTATTGCTGTGTATGAGAAAGGTGCTGGGCTTTGCATACACATTCTATGTAAGACAAGAAGTATCCATTTGTTGTAAGTTTGGGCTTTCTTTGACTGCTTTTTCAATTACTTCTAAGGTTTATTCAGGTTTTCTACTTGAGCCAACGATTAGAATTTCTATGCTGTATTTAGTCTAGTCTCTTAGAGCTGTGTTTTTAATTTCTGGTGTTTAGGGTTTGAGGCTTTCCTTCTTGTTTTCTCTGACTTTGTCTCTGTGGTAGCAACTGTGGACACGGTTTTTGAGTTTTCTGTTTATTCTAATGTGTAGTCAAATTAAGAATTTGTTCCATGTGTGTTTTCTGGTTGTTGGACTTAATCATTAGGTTGACTTGAGTCCTCTTCAGCCTTACCTAATGTTTTATCTAATTCATGTGTTGTTTTCTGGAATAAATGTATTAAAATGCACATAGAACTGTGGCTTTGTCTGTTTCTCCCTGTATCCGTGTGAAGCTCTGTTAGGTGCATGAAGTTTCCTGTCTTTTACGTCTTCTCGATGAATTGTTTATCACTTTGTCCTGTTAATGCCTTGGATTGTATTTTCTCTCATAAATACTGTTATGCCTCATCTCTTTTAGTTGGTAATTACGGGGTACCTCTCTCTTCACCCCATTTGTCTTAACTCCTCCTGGGCCATTTCATTTAGTTATGCCTTGTGTAAGTAATTTGCAGCTGGGTTTTGTGCCAGCTCACGCTCCTCTGCCTGTCACCTCACTTTGCTCCTGCCCTCCCGCCCAGCCTGGCCTTCCTGGTCCTGCTGCACTGCCTCCCCTTCCAGCCCGACTCCCACGGGGACCCCCTCGACTCTCCCCTGCTGGGCCCTGTGCTCCCTTCCATTGCGTCTCTGCCCTGGCTCCTACCCCTTACAGCCCTGCGATTACCTGCAGGGCACTGGGGAAACCAGGGCACATAAGACCCCAGGCCCCTTGTCTTCTGGGGGGGCCTCCCTCTAAGGGGAGTGGCAGGTGATGCCCAAGCAAGTTCTCAGGTGAGATTAGAGCTGCAAATGGTGGAGCATCAGATGGGGGAAGAAAACAGGATGGTCTTGGGAGCCCTGGGGAGGGAGAGCCTGTTTTAATTTAGGATGAAATAGGACGAGTTCCTCCAGGAGGTGATACTTCAGCTGACACCTGAAGGATGAGCAGGAGCAGTCCAGTGAGAACTGAGGAGAAGATCATTCCAGGGAGAGGGGACAGCAGTCTTCCCCTGTCACTGAGAGGCTTCTCAAGGCTCTACGTCTTCCCCTGTAGGCGTGCGGCCGGTTCTGCGGGGCAGCAGGTGGGGACCAAACATATCCTTGAGTGCAGTGCGGGCGGGAGGCAGCGCGGCTCTGGCACCCGGGGCTGTGGGCACCCTCCCCTCTGGGCCTTTTGGGGGGCTCCTGCCCAGCCTGGTGGGGCGGCTAAATTTGGGCAGGAGCAGCAGCAGCAGCAGAAAGGACACCCCAGGTGAGGAGTGTGCACAGGGCTTGGGATGTGCACAGGGACAGTGGCACCCAGGCGCCCGTGAGCCTGCAGGGCCAGCAGCTGTGGCGCGATGCTCTGAGGCGGTTGCAGGCTCCAGACTCCAGGGTTCCTCTTCTCCAGGCTAAATGTGCTTGTTTCTCCTACCAGTTTCAATTTTCCCAACCATCCCTCTGTGGTGGTGAGGTACAGGGGCCCCTCTGGCCATGTTAACGAGGTTGGATCCCATGGCCTGGTCTGGTCCCCGCTCCTCCTCTGAGGTGTGGCTTGTCCCAGTCACTTAATCTTTCTGCTCCTGGGATCCTTGATGCTAAAATGGGGACAGTAACGAGGATAGTGAGGAGCCTCCTCGTTGCTCTGCGGGTGGTGGAGTTTTGTCACTGTGAAGGGCTGTACACATGCCCCGCCCCCAGATGCAGTGGTAGGGGGGCAGCGTGGGCAGCTCCCTGTGCTCCAGGGGCTGTGGATGAGCTGGGCCACCGTGACCTGCTTGTTCCCCTGGAGGGCAGGTTCTTCGGGATTCCCTGATGCAGTTCTGCTTCCTCTTTTCCCATCCTCTCCCCAGTTTGTTGATTGACTCGTTGAGGGATCCTATCCGATCTCCCCTAAAGACTCTGAAACTAGGGACAGCCTTGGAAACGTCATGCTGTGCTATCCTTTGCCTCACACACATGAGCAAAAACAGCCCCAGCTGCCATCCAGAAGGGTCTCCCCAGCACAGGGAATGCCAGGCACTAAACCTCTGTGGTTTCCCATTGAAAAGATAGGGTCCTGTCGCAGATGCCACCAGGGTCCCTTTGACCAAGGATCAGCCACCTGGGGGAACCAGCGACTTCCACTCCTGAGGGGAGGCTGTGCACAGAGGGTGACAGGAGTCAGGGCAGTGCCACCTCTGTCTCAGCAGGAGATAGGAGCACTGACAGCTCGTTATCCGGGCCTGGGCCAGTAATAAGGGATAGAGCGAAGGGCTGGGTGAGCTCCGTGTCACCATGGCTTAGCAGGCTGCTAGGAGCATGCAGGAGCTCTGGGGGGAGGAGGGGAGAGTGGCAAAGAGCGCACCCCTGGCCTGGAGGGACCGAGAGGAGGAGAGGCCTTTAGAGCCGATAGACAACCCAGTGCAGGTGGGCAGGCCCCGCAGGCTGGCGTTGGCCTCAGGGAATCGCTAGACAGCTGACGAAGGACAGAGCAGGAACCTGCCGCTGGCCAGAGCACCCTGCGACAAGACTCAGCTTGAGGGACAGGTCTGCTAGGACCAGGCGGTGGTCCAGGTCTCTGCAGGGCCTGGGCTTCAGGATCAAGCCCATTGTGAGGAAACTGAGGGGCCATCCAAGATTGCCAGGGTGGAACGTGAGCCTGGCTGCCGGGTTCCATCATCGCCTGTGTGGCCCGGGCCTGGGGGCCTGGCAGATCCCGCTGACCTTGGCTGCTCCTTGTGTGCTGCTAGGCCTGGGGCTTCCAGGGGACGGACTGCAGGGTGGGGCTGTCACCTGCCAAGTGGCCCAAGGGGACCTGTCTTCCTCTTCTCGTCTGCACTTTGACCTTGGGCTTTGGGGCATCTCTACAGGGGCTGGGCTTTGGTGGGGGGGCGGCGGGGGGGTGTTCTAGAACATAATGTCCAAGCCACTCCCCAAAATAATAGTGATGAAAATAATAACAATTATGTTTGAGGTGAAATTAACACTTCTAATGCATCTTTAGAAAATGTTGCTGTTTTCAACAGACCTGTAACATACAGTTTAGTTAAGAACTCTGCTTGCTCGGCAGAAGCAGCTACAAGATGTGCCCCAGCCAGCTCTGGCCTTATGGCAGCCCCTCCCCCTCCCACGGGAGTGTCAGGAGGGGTCCCTGCCCCGTGCTCCCTGGGTTAGGGTCTGGGGCACACTCTGATGCCTTCAGGGGCCAGGAGGACAACAAGGATGGCAGGCCAGGCGGCCTGGGGATCCAAGCCTCATGCGTTATGTCTCCAGGCGTGGTCGTTACTCCACAGCTCAGTGTGACTCCCCCACCCCCGCGGTGACCCCGTCTCCTATTTCCTCAGAGAAGCTGACAATTCTAGCCTTTGTTTAACGTGAAATCTCCCAATTTTGAAATACTGTCAACCAAATAACGTATTTTTTCAACACCACGTGGCCCTAACAGGAGCCTCTGTGGTCTGGTTTTGCCCGGAGACCCCCCGTCGGTGACCCCTGGCTTGACAGGGGCAGAGGGGAATGTCCAGCCTCTTCCCCGGGGAAGAATTTTTTTATGGAAATTACCATCTTTCTGCTTCCCGAGGTGATTCTGAAGGTGAGTTGTCCCTGCTTGTTGGAACTGCAAAGAGATAAATGTGTAAAAATAGAGTAGCAATTCCTCAACCCCCCTGTCAGTTTAAGCAGCCAGTGTCTCCTCTGGGAGCGGCGAGGATGGCCGTGAACAACCTCCAGGCGGCCCAGCAGAGTGATCACTGCACACGCGCTGCCTGCACGCCTCCGCCCCGTCCCCGGAGCGTCCCTGGGCGGCGCCTGCAATGTGCAACTGTGTGTGTGTGTGTGTGTGTGTGTGTGTGTGTGTGTGGGAGGGGTGGACGTGGGAGACTGCAGGGCTGGGGCAGGGGCACAACAGCCCCAGGAGGTGCAGGAATGCAAGCAGCCACTCAGCCCTGACCCCACTCACTGCTCTTCCTGTCAAAGCCCCCCACTTCTCCTTCCCCTCCCTCCCTCTGCTTTTCCTTCCTGGTCTCTCTGCCACGCCAGGTCGCAAGTCTGTGCCTCAAAACTAGCAGACAGCAGGTGTAAAGGAGAGAGCTTCCAGCTGAGAGTCCGCGATGCGGGGGTCCGTCAGTCTTCCTGTCTGTAGAACGGGGACAGTAATGCACAGCAAGGAGGCCAGTGGTCGGCACTGGCTGAGGAGACCCATGCGCGGGACCGAGTATGGAGCAGGACCCCGATGGCGGCAGGCTGTCCGCCTGTCTGTGAACTGCCATGCTGCCCTCAGAAGCCCTGTTCTGCCTCCAGGGTCTGTCACATGCCACCGTGATGTTGAGGGAGTTCCTGTCCCGGTCCAGAGGAGGCAGTGGACAAGAGGCTTTGGGGACAAGTGAGAGGAAGTGTTCTGGAAGACTCTTTGTGGAGAGGTGGTGCTGCAGGCTTCCGGCCCCACCTTAGCTGCAGGGGCCACAGGGCCTGGGTCAGTGATGTCACGATGACCTGAGGTCCTAGGTCCTTCCCAGGCAGGAGTCTCTGAGACACCCCTCGACCCCCCAGGGAATGTCAAGGAAAAGCAGGACCCTGGGGTCGAGGACCTGGCACGGACACAGAGACCAGCGCAGGAGTGTGGGGGGCTTCCAGAAGGCTTTGGTGCTGGGGCTTAGCGGGCAGTGTGGTCTGGGGCTACCAGCAACACTGAGGTCAGCCTGGTCAGCTCAGCTGCAAATCTGAAAGGTGGGGGCAGGGGCTCTGGTCCAGGGTGGGCTCCAGGCCCAGTGAGAAAGTCGAAGGGAACCGAGGCAGAAGCTGCAGCTATGCAGGTGGTGAGACAACATCCTGGGATCCTGGGCCAAATGGAGCTCCGGGCCCTGGACCCCTCAGCTGAGGCCCCTCAGGCACCACGCCCCAGAAGGGCTGCCTGCCCTCGGCCGGGTGTCCAGCCTGTGGGGGCCAGAGTGAGTCCCTGCCCAGACAGACCATGAGGGAGCTGTCACGAGAGGCGATCATCCTGGTCCCTGCACAGTTCAGTCAGGCAACCTCCCATCTCCTCGCACTTGGGACCAGGGGCAGGCACTGTTCACACGGGGGAGGGGGCCGTGGGAGATCCCAGCCAGGATAGGGGCGGGTGGACCTGGCCCAGAGACGAGGGACCTTTCTTCAGTGGAGGACAGAGCAGAAAGTTCCAGAAGGAGAGCTGCCCAAGGAGACCCTGTGGGACACACACCATCCAAGCTGGGCCTCAGTTTCCCCAGTTATAATAGGGGGTGGCAACACCTGGGAGACCAGCCCTTTGGCACCCGGGCGGCCCTTTGGGAGCCTGCAAGTGCATGAATGGGTGAAAAGAGCTGGTGCTGCTCATGCCCATCCCTGGCTGCGCGGCCCAGCTTCCTGGCCTCTCCGAGCGTCGCTGGGTGTCAGACTTGGCTGCTGCTGAGGTGTTGGTGTGCATGCTTCTGGGTCTGAGCTGACTTGGCACAGTCAAGTCTACTTACTGCCCTCCCTGAACCTGTTTGTTCTCCTGTCAAATGAGGACAAGAAGGCCCTCTGTTCCGGTGCCGTGGGTTTTCAACGAGATGTTGGCCAAGCTGGTGCCTGGCAGGTGCCGCGTAGCATCCGAATGGGGTTTGGACCTGCTGCGGCGACCCTGGTGAGCCCGGGCTGCTGTTGCAGACGCTGTCTTCTGTCCTTCCAGGGGCCTCCCTGGACAGCCTGGACAGCCTCAGCCGCGCCCTGGGCGTCCTGGAGGATCAGGTCAACAGCTCGAGGCACAGGGCGCGCAGGCACGCTGCCGACGACGACTACAACATCGAGGTCCTGCTGGGCGTGGACGACTCGGTGGTGCAGTTCCACGGGAAGGAGCACGTGCAGAAGTACCTGCTCACGCTCATGAACATTGTAAGTGGGGGCTGGGGGCGGGGCCAGGTGGAGAGGGCAGCAGGCGGGCCAGCCTGCCCCTGCTTTCTGCCGTTTCTTGGTGGAGCTGGGAGTAAGCGACGTGGTCACTGGGAGGCTCTCTGGGTCCACAGGTGAGAAAAGACCCTCCCATTGACCTCACTGAACCTCAGTTTTCTCATCTGCAAATGGGGGTAATTGTGACTTGGCAAGACTATTTACACACTAAGGCCATTTTTCACAAACTCCAGTCATTTGTGTACCAGTTTTCTTGATTTTTACCATACCCACGTTGGACCCGGACTGTGTGTTTTCCTGTAAGTCAACTGGCCTTTTTAAAACTTAAAATTATTTGCAAAGGAAGCCTCACTTTACGTAAAGGTAACCTAAATAGTGAAACGTAAAGCGACGGTTACTCAACCCCGGGTAGGTAGTCCTGCCTTCTGCAGGCTCTGAACTGCAGCCCACGCTGTGTAACAGGGAGTTTAGTGTGTGTTAGAGGAGGGGAGAGACAGACCGACACCCATCCGAGGCTTCCTGAGGCAGTCAGAGGAATTGAAGATTGAAGAGGGAATCCGTTGCCCCATGTGAGGCTGGGCTGTTTAATGGGGTGTCTCTGCGCCTTCTAAGCTTTACTTACTATCACTGGTTTACTGTAAAGGATACATCTCAGGAACAGTCAAATGGAAGAGATGCAGGGGGTGCGAGGTATGGGGGAGGTGCACAGAGCTTCCCTGGCCTCTCTGGGCGCCCCACCCTCGCAGCACCTCGACAAAGTCACCCACCTTGGCAGCTCTCTAAACTCCATTGTTTAGGGTTTTTATGGAGGTTCTACTACAGTCATGTGTCGCTGAGCGACAGGGACATGTTCTGAGAAATGTGTCATTAGGCGAGTTCGTCGTTGTGTGAACCTCATAGAGTGTACTCACACACACCCAGATGGTACAGCCTACTGCACACCTAGGCTGTATGGCACTGATCTTACGGGACCACGGGCGTATATGAGGTTTGTTGTATGCGGCGCATGACTGTACTTGGGCATGACTGATGGAATCATTGGCCCTGGGTGATTGGACTGGATCTCCAGCCTCTCTCCCCTCCCTCCAGGTCAGGGGGTGGGGCTGAAAGTTCCAACCCTCGAATCACAGATTTGGTTACTCTGGCGGCCCCCATCCTAAAGCTGTGTAGGGGCCCACGGAGAGTCACCTCATTAGCATAAACTCAGGTGTGGTTGAAAGGGGCTCATTATGAATAACAGAAGACACTCTTCTCACCCCCATCACTCAGGAAATTATGAGGGGTTAGGAGTCCATGTGAGGAGATGGGGCTACAGACCAGACACATATTTCTGATGATGTCACATCTGGGTTAATTCCTGGCCCCCCTGTGACCAGCAGTGTCACTGAGAATGCTGCTCCAGTCCTCTGAGCCTTGGTTTTCTCCTCTTTAAAATGAATGGGTCAATAATTTCCCTCTCAGGAGTTGTCGTGACGATTAAATGAGATAATAGAGGTGAATGGGACTTTCAGTCTCTAAATAAAATGTGGTTTTACTATGGTGACAGTGATGATATTTAATTTAGTGACAGCACATCTAGAATTGCTTTTAAGAAGTAAGCCAGGGACTCTGATTGAAGCTGGAGTGTCGTGGTGAGTTCTGCTTGAGGCTGGTGGAGCAAATCCGCCTTTTCCCTGGTGTGGGGGGTCCCTCTGTCACACACATCTCGTGCTGCATGAGCTGGTAGGAGGAAGTCTAGAACTCTCTCTTGGTTTTACCAGTTAACCTCAGTTTATTCATTTATACCCTCATGGTCAGCTTTGGATAATGAGATGGTTTGGTTAGTTTCTCGCAAATCATGAGAAATATAAAAATTATTAAATCGAAACAAACTTTATTATCACAATAAAAGAATTTTGGGAGAGAAATCATAGGAGCTGAGAAGGAGTAGTTGGGCCATATCTTTCCTGCTTGTCCGGGCACAGTGGTTGGTCCTGCAGACGCAGAGGGCATGGTGGACAGTCCTGGGGCTCAGGGAGACACAGGTCGGGGAGGATCTGCGCCTCTAATCTGAGCTCCAGCTCCCACCGTTGAGAGGAAAGCGCAGTGCGGTCGAGGGGCTGAGGATGGAGCCTGCAGCGCGTGGTGCCCCAACAGTGAGCACCCTCTAAGGCTCTGTGTCCTCATTCAGGGCAGGTTCATGCCCAGGAGAGAGTCCCCGGGGCTGATTTAAGGCATGTGGCACCCTGTGGTGGTCTTGGGAACGAGGGGATTGAGGAAGGGTGAATATTTGGTAAAGGATGACCTTCCAGAGCAACACTGTCCAATAGAAGTTTCTGCAGTGCTGGAAATGCTCTAATTCTGCCCTGACCAATGAGGCAGCCACTAGCCACCCCTGGCCCTTAAGCACTTGAAATGTTGCTGATGTGACTGAAGAACTGAATTTTTAATTTATTTTTAATAGAATTTTTTTATTTTAATGTAAAAATTTTTAATTGTAGTAAAATACATATAACATAAAATATACTGTCTTAACCATTTTAACTGTACAGTTTAGTGGCATCAAGCACATTCACACTGTTGTGCAGCCATCCTCACCATCCATCTCCAGAACTCTTTCATCTTGGAAAACTGACGCTCCATACCCATTCAACACTGACTCCTCTTTCCCCCTCCCCCAGCCCCTGGCAACCACCCTCCTACTTTCTGTCTCTATGAATCTGACTACTCCATGTACCTCATGTAAGTGGAGTCATACAGTATTTGTCCTTTTGAGACTGGCTTATTTCACTTAGCATAATGTCCTCAAGGTTCATCTATATCGTGACATTTGTCAGTATTTCCTTCTTTTTAGGGGTGAATAATATTCCCTTGTATGTATACACCGCATTTTGCTTATCCATTCATCTGTCAGTGGACGCTTGGGTTGCTTCCACCTTTTGGCTATTGTGAATAACGCTGCTATGAACATGGGTGTACAAATATTTCTTCATGTCCCTGCTTTCAGTTCTTTTGTGTATGTACCCAGAAGTGGCATTGTAGGATCATATGGTAATTCTATTTTCAATTTTCTGAGGAGCCACTGTATTGTTTTCTACAGCAGCTGTACCATTTTACATACCCTCAAACAGTGCACAAGGGTTCCAGTTTCTCCACATCCTCACCAGCACTTGTTACTTTTGATGGTAGCCATCCCAATGGGTAATTTAATTTATTTGTAACTAATTTACATTTGGATTTAAATCACCAGTGTGGCTAGTGGCTCCCGTACTGGACGGTGCAGTCCTGGAAGATCTGTGCCCAGTGGGACCTCCTGCTGCGCCCTTCCTCTGAACCTGACCAGGCGCGTGGTGCTGACCAGGTGTGGGCAGCGCTGCTGTGGGCGCCCCGAGACTCTGAAGGCACTGGCTCACCTGGAGCTGCGCCGGATCCCTGAGTGGCCCTGAAGGCCTGGCCAGGGCACGTGTCCCTCTCCTTACATGTGCACAGCTGGTCTCGGGGCTTCTCAGCTCTGGCCAAAGCAGTGACGTGGAGGACAGATGTGGCAGCAGCCGGCCTGGACCACGCGCCAAGTGAGGCATTTGGTCAGCTGTGAGGACGGCCAGGGCCAGGGCAGAGGCGTTCCCAGTGGCCAAGGCTCGGGGCCAGCCGTGGATGGACACAGCCTGTCCCCTAAGGAAGGCCACTGAGGCCCTGGGAGGAGGGTCTGGTGGGGGTCCCCATGGCAGGGACCTGGGGAATGTGGGGTCCCAGGAGGAGGAGAGGCCAAGGTGGGCCAAATGCAGGCGTGGTTTGGTTTCCATCTTGTTCAGGGTGATTCCCCCTGCAGGAGTTCCTCTGGCGTCTGTCTGTGACAGAGCCTGGGTGGGATGCGGGTCTTGGTCTGACACAGACACTTCGGGTTCATCAGATATCCACGTGCTCCCCTCCTTTCCTCCATTTTCCCAGCCTCCCTTGCAGGGGTTAATTTGGGGTTGTGTGGCTAGGAAGTGATGTGTGTCACCTCTTGGCCAAGGCAGTGAAGAGCCGGGGTGGCCCTTCCCTCTCTCTCTTTCCCTGCCGCAGTGACCTTGGAAGCCACATGTCCCAGTAGGTACAGCTACAAAGTGGGGCAGGGCCGGCCAGCCTGCACTGGGCTGTGATGTGTGCAGCCGCTGTGTCAGGCTGCTGAGATGTGTGGACTCTTTAATGCTGCAGCCTAGCCTGTCCTATTCTGACCAGTACCCCTGGCTCCTGTCCATATGGCTGACAAGTGTTTACTGGGCATTTACTACCTGTTAGGCAAGGGGTACAGCTGTAAGCAAGACAGGACACAGTCCCTGTGGCCACGGCCTTGCCTTCTGGTGGGGCGACACAGACAATATTCAAGTGAAAAACAAATGAGGTGATTTCAGGTAATGATAAATGCAAGAAAGGAAATAAAATAGCTACTGAGATGGAGAAGGAAGAAGGGTTGGGGAAAGTGCGCCACTTTATAAGGGGTCACGGAGGCTGTGCACAGGAAGTAACATTGTTGCTGAGCCTTGAATGATAAGGGATGACTGTGAGAAGAGATGGGATAGAGTGTTCTGGGGGAACAGGCAGTGCAAACGCCCTGAGACAGGAAGGAGATTGGCACATTTGAAGAGGTGCAGCAGGGCCAGTGTGGGATCACGGGGCACAGGCAGGAGGGGAGGTGGGAGACGAGCCAGGCCAGGCAGTAGATGTGGAGAGGGACTTGGATGTGACCTGAAGGGCAGCGGGAATTCGCTGGGGGTGCGGCTTCCTTCCTACACTAATGGGCAAGGCATTTTATTCCCTTTTTTCATAGGAATATGGGAATTAATCAATCCGTCCTTGTCTCCATCTCAGACTTTCTGGAGGGTGTGAAGGGTTGGGAATGTTCACTGAGCACTTCACTTCACCTGGGAGCAGAAAGAGTCTCACGGTGTTCAGACTCCCCCAACCCATTCAAGCACCTCCTGCCAGGTCCAGTTTCCTTCTTTTCCTCCTTAAATCTAGAAAAG